TCCCGTTAATATTTCCTTCGGAAATCCTTGCAACTTGAATCCCATCAGACTTTTTGAGTCTGCTTTATCTTGGCTTCCCAGTTATCAGTTACTATTAGCAACCAAGGAGTATATGGATATCTTTATTCAAAAATCCACAACGCGCATTTCAACATCCCTCATGCCCCAGTCAGAGAGTGCAATGACGCACGATTTTTCCAATCCTCTTTTCAGTCGTTTTGCTCGATCCTATTGGGATCACTTACACGGATCAAAACAGGGCAAATCGTTGACTGAAAGTGAAGCTAATTATCGATGTACCAATCTGGACACACCCTATTCCAGTTCACCTTGCCAATCGAAAAAATCCACTTTATCTAACAGTCTGGTTCTATCGGGTTCGGTCAACGATTCCATCCTTAATCCGTTGTTCGGTGGCACTTTGAACAACCCGGTCAACCGATACTCTCCACCATTGAACTTTAGCGCATTCACATCGTTCGACCAGAACATGATCTGTCCGATTTGCCGCAAATGTTTTCGATTCGAGAAAAATTTGTTACGACATCTGCAAAAGACTCACGCGACGGGAACTGGCGAGTCTGTACTAAAGTGCAAATTGTGCAACTATACAACCAGGCACTATAGCAATATGTACGTGCATATTCGAACGCACACGGGTGAGTGAAGTCCCGAAAAAGGGAATTCATCTAATTGTACATGCAGATGGCCTCATTTATTATGGTTCCATGTTGGTAAGCTTTGCGGTGTGTGGGATCGAGTGTTTTGGTGTTAGTGTTGGTGGTGGTGGTGGTGGTAGTGGTGGTGGAATTGGAGTACACGAACTCGAACACGAAGTTTTCTAAAGTAAACAGTCGAATGAAATGAGCTTTGACGGATTGAATTCCTTGTTTTGGTGGTAACGTCCCCCATTATATGTTGTATGGTATCCCTTTGATTGACCGCTTCCCGCTTCCTGGAGATTGTATTTTAGTATACTCAATCAAAAGTAAAAATAAAAAATAAAAAAACGGAAATGAAGAATATCAGAATCATTTTTATCACACTAACGACTTCAGTATAACAAACAAACATTTGTTGAGCGATGAACAGAGAAAAGGCCACGATGTGATTCTATCCCAGAGGATTTTGTTGTATACACAGCAATTGCGACGTGAAGATAGCAAAATTGTTCCGACCTGATTGGGTCTCATTAGTAGTGAAAATTCGTCGACCCAAATGGGGATTAAACCCGGGGCTTCAGTGGTAGAACGCAAGTAGGCAGGCTGATCAGATCGCTTTCGTGTTCCCTATGGCACAACCCACCTTTGAGAGCTTGCTGTGGGTATCACACCTGGTTGATTTCAGTCCCATTTGGAAGCTTTCCAAACTGTCTTTAGATGACCATGGTCCCAGTAACCGGAAGTGCGGGTTTCACCAGTGAAGTTCAGTATAAAATAACCAGTAATAAATATAATTTAAAGTTTTCGGTACACTGAATCTACTTCCTTTGAAAGGAATTCCATTTTTTCCCTGCATTTTGATCATCGTTTCGAATAACACAAAAACATGTAATGACTTGATGAGAATAGAAATGGAACAGAATAGAAAACGCCACCATATCGTGTGTCTGAACCGTAACGAGCGCGAGAACGAACTAAGCACGACTACGTGCCATGTGGATCGTCGGGACTCCGGTCCCATTTCAGCTCACTGGTTTAGAAACCCTCAGAGGAAAATGAAATGCTAGAAGTGTGTGAAGCACACATAGNGGTCTTGGGGGGGGGGGGCTGCCAGGGTTTTTTCACTGCTAATAAACAGCATGCGTCTTTTTGGAGCTGTTCATAGACCGTTGACGGTCGACTTGTTCATTTGCGCCCAAGCGTGAACTGTACGTGCAATCTTGTTTGAGTCGAACTAACGAGGATATTATGCCTCTAGCACTTGAACATGGTTCACTTTTATGGTTTTTGCTACGATTATTGTGAGGAAGTGGAATAACTTTATCGAGCGTTTATGAGTGCGCTCGCTCGCGTATATGTTTGTGGATGCATGGGGAAATGAGTGTGCTTTGCTTAATATTGCTCTTGGCGCTTACAAATCGTACTTGTGATCTGATAAATACAACGAAAGTATACATCAGTATAACCGGTTCTATTGCACAAAATAACTGCTACCGGGAGTGTGGAGATGGAGCTGACTGTTACTCTTGTTAGAATTATTCAACAATGGACACCTTCAATAATAAACTTATTCCTCGTTGATGAATTTGAATAAACCAATTTCGTAGTTCATTTAAAAAAAGAATTGACAACAATAGAAATGACCTTAAGTTCTTGTTAGTGTTGAACAACAGTTTTCCGGAGGATTTTCGAATGAGTCATTGCGTCCAATTCGACGGTATTCGAGTCGATTACAAAGAGATAAAATCGGTGGACTGGAAAAACCCCGACCAACGGTGCAAGCGCGTGCGACACTTAAAACCTAGCAATACACGTATGTGATTTTGCACGCAAGAAGTGAACAAAACTATATTGTATGACGGTTGACAGCAAACGCATGCTCATCGGATGTGCACTTCTGAGACTGCACGACTTGAAGTAACTCCATAATAACAGAATGAATGAGATCGTACAGACACTGTGAATCGTTAATTACACTGATAACGCTGCCATGTAAAGCTATACGTCGTCCTACACCTCTCCATCCCGTTTCTTTCATTGTTTAGACATCTTCAATGCTCTGACTATTGATCAGAAATAATACAACTTGTACTTTTAGAAGCTTCTATTTGGTCCGCTTCAATAATTCGATTCTCTTTTTTAAACAACAACGGACTCATCAGTGTCCTATTTGTTCAAACTGATTTACGCTTTGTTTTTGATGTGGTTGTCATAAATTTTGGTCATGTGAAGATTGGTCCTTGTTTTCATGAACGAAACCGGCGGGTTGCCTACGTAGATCAACCCAACAGGGAGCTATCAACGTGGATAGTATTTTGATTTGGAGAGATCAAAGTTCAGATTTAACTTTCACGCACGACTTTCCATCATCCAGACAACCATACGCGCAAGCCAAATCAGTGTCACTTATTTCACACCACTACTTACAAATAAGTGTAAGGCAAATGTTAGATAGCATTTTTCTATTGATCAGACGGAAAGCTTGTAGACTGAAATCAATCCACCTTAGCGCTTTACGATAGGTGGAACCGTTCACGCCATGCAAATATTTAACCAGTTTATGTGGCGAAAGTAAGATAGTTGAACTGTCCTGAGTACATTTTCAAGAAAGGTTTTCTTTTACTTGAATACTTCACAAAACCACATGTTCAACAAACAACAACAAAAGGCAGTTGTGTTGACGGAATAGAGAAAATTTGTTCCCATATTTTCCGCCAAGTTTATACCGATGAAAGGATCAAATTTTCATTACTCTTTTTTCTGGGATTATCAAAGCAACTCTAATCACCGTGGTGATTTGTAAGCAGTTTTGGGATTTTAGAACAACGACAATAACAACAGCAACAAAGACGACGACGGTAACAACAACAACAACAACAACAACAACAGCAATAAAAGGACAGAACAGGTGATTTTCTACTGACTTTTAGCAATACCCACTTCGCCAATCCATTCACATGCGGGACTGGATTTTGGGGTAAAGTAAAGTCTAAATGGCCGAACACACTTTGCCCCTCCTTCAGGTGCAACCCACTAACCACCAGTCCCAACCACCTACGCAATTTATGCGATTTTCTCTCAATTCGTCTTGTTGTGAGCTTGTTCATAAGACATACACGACTCTCACACTCCGTTTTGCCATCCCGTACCCGCATCACTCGTAGCCTCTCTGTACAGCTAATCAGTTCAGCATGGCCGAATGGGTACAGAGGGATATACAATCATTCCGATTTTCGATGGGTGTACATTTGCCTCTGAGAGCCGGTTAATCCTATTCGTCCATCTTCAACTGGCAGAAGCGACGCGGGTCAGGGTGAAATTTCATACCATGGTTTGCAGGTTTCTCATGTTCTCTCTCGTTCGCACGAAATTCTTCTTCCACTCTTCTCCGGGGTGCCATAATTGTGTACACACGAACATCTGGACACATGTGTGGACATATGTATGTTCCGCACGGTCAATTATGCCCCTTCTCCATCACCCTGCACGCGAACACACACACACACACATATATATATGCAGGAATGAATAGATACACAAACATACAAGCACGCATACATATGTTCCCTTACAAGCATGGGAAGGACCTAAGAGCTTTACACTTTGTTGTCTACCACGGTTACTTTGCATTTAGATTACAATATGGTTTCTGCGCGTTTTACGTATCGGTAAGAACAAATCTGTAATCCACTCGACTCGTCCACCACTCATCATTTACTCCACCAAGGAATTGTGATTGGATTTGACAAACGTAAACCATTTGCAAACTGTGCTTTATTTACCCGAGACTAGGATAGGAAAAGAATGACCGAGAAAGGTTACGTTCTACTCTTTCGTTTGTTAGTTCAATGATTTATTGACGTTCTTTACCAATCAGATTCGTGTGATTCGTAGTGAGTTTATGAACCAGTCAACTATTTTGTGACGAGAGAGGAAGCGAATTAAAATTACCTCTTGACAATCATGCCAACACGACACTATGCGTGGAGAAATTCTTTTTCATTAGTGCAAGTAGTGAGCCAAGCTGGAAATATTTTTCAATGTGTGGTGAACGTTGTTTGAACAGTGTAACCGCCGATTTCAAGCACTATCCGTGCCAACCATACCTGTAATTTTCATTGGTTTGCTACATAAAACCTCGCGGTTGCAAGTGACCGTTAGCAAGCCTCCGTTGATGACTTTTAAGAGAATGCTGGTGAAGAACATTGTTCTGGAATTGCATCGGAACAGACTAATCCGATGGTCACTTTGGGAAGATGATTGGCATTGCAACAAACTAATCATATCTGAACGTTTACGAAAGTTGGGAGAGTAGATATCACACAATTCTCCTACTGTTTCATTCGTCAGTTTGGGTAGTGAACGATCTGCCAACTGTGCCCACGGAGATAATGAACTTTTGCCATTCACGGAGGGAAGAATACCACTGGATGCTTGTCTACCTAACAACTGTCAGACAGATGCATAACGAGTGAACGTAATTCACATCACATTCATCGGTAGTGATCAGGTGTTCAAGATCGTCATCATAGCGGTCCATGGACGTTGTGTCTGAAACCTCTCATGCACATCATCACCAACAACAGCAACAGCCGTGATCTGAATGATCCTAGGCAACTTTGATTTACTGCACGAACAATCCTGAAATCTGATTAACCAGTTGTAGGGTTACAAAATAAAAGGGCGAAGGTGGGGCGAGGACAGCAAAATGATCATCATTACGATAATTTCAAGAATATTTTGATGACATGCACGGGTAGATCTTATTTTGAATTGAAACCCTTTTTTGAATTTTGGAGCAGGTCGATATCACTGAAACATTTGACGTGAGCAGTTGACTCATACGAATGCCGCAACCAAATCCCTCTATTGGTAGCTCATAATTACTTGTTAGTGGGCTTTGTTCCTTCAATTGATTGCATATTTCGCCTGTGTGTGAAATATTAGTCTTAGGGGTAAAACAGTGAGACAGAACATCTGATTCCGAAAGTTTGCTTGTTAGACTGGAATGTTTTATGCGTATTTCGTAAGTTCTACCACCATGCCTTTAGATAAATGCTTTTTAATAAATCCTCCATGTTTTATTGACAAATCACAGTCAGTCACTCTATCCATAAATCTTCACGTTCCATTGCCCGGCGTCTAGGGGATCAGGATTTCTGGCATTCCCCATAAAGACACGTATTTCTAGCTGAAATATCACTGCTTCCTATCTGCTGTTGTGTTTAATTTTTATCAGTATAAATGTGAATGTGATTAGTCGCAAAGTCAGTTCACCTCATGCGGTATTTTCTATGACGTAAAATTATAACTCTATCAATTTAAATTTAGTGATAAAAAACATACATCATGTCATTACAGGATGACGAAATGAAAATGAGACAAGGTGTTTCGGTTTCCACAGTTCCTCCAGTTGGCCAGCTTAGTTATGAATGTTTTCTCAACGGCCTGGTTCGTATCGTCAGTGGTTTTAGTAAGATAACAGTTAGATTCTGTCAGCTCGCTCACAAACATTCACTATTTTTCAAGGAGCTTATTTATTTTGCTGTTCTTTTTAAGTTTTTCCACTTCTTGCAGCACGCGATCGGTACTGTTTAACGATTCAAGGATATGCCTATAGTAGTTAGCAGATCCCTGCATACGGCGACTGGTTGAGCATCGTTGTCCTTGCTGCAATACATAACACAGGTGAGACAGTCGGAGAAGTAATGCCGAGAGCAGGATGAGAGTATCAGTTGCATGTGCTCCATGACCAAACTCTGAGCTCGCTGATATGCATTATGCATGTCCATGGATAGGCTTCCTCGGTGTGCATTGTTAAGTCATGTTAAGTCATGAAGTGGTTGGAACAAGGCCAGCCGTGGACAATGACCTGGCGAAAAGGTACGATAATCGTGGCCAATGTCATGTAAGCCGTGCCAGGCTATCCAGTTGGGGATTCGAAGCTAGTCTATAGGGAACGGTTACAGACACTGATTATATCACAAGCAGTAGTGTTAGTCGGTTTACCTATTTTCTGCACACATTTTTAACCCTTATTCTGCATGATAATTTTGTTATTGCCCTCAGTCATTCAGTTAGTTTTACTTACCTGTATTTCATTCAACCAAGTGGACCCTGAACTAAAAGAAAGCAGACCAAACCAGCGTAAGGCTATTGGTTCTGCAGAAACGGAGCTGAAATGCATTGCAACAACTTTCAGATAGGATTTTGTTGTTTCACAATCCAAACGCCTTTGAATTGTGTTGTGTTCGTCGTTTTTTGCTTAACAGTTTAATTTTAGTTTTTAATAATCATGCCGATTTTCTGAAAGTTTCTTTATACAATAGGTGATCGGTTACTCTTGGGCGAGCCCACAAACACCCTTTTTCCCAGAATCTCCCTCAAAATAGATTCGAGGTTTATTTTTAGTCCACTGTTTAGATTGTTCACCACTGGTCTTGTGATTGAATCTGCTCCCTGATCGATGATAAACAACAGATCCGAAACGTCTGTCCAATGAGTGCTCTCACCTCTCTTTCCTTTGTGTTCTGGCGTTTAACACTTGTACTGTGCTTACACCAGGAATATACATAGAGAAGATGAGCGAAATTCTAGTAACATTAGCCTTTAACTATTTCAGTATTATCGAATCGGCTGTTTGAACCTGTTCAGTTAGCAGTTTTACCATCCAAAACGACGTCAGACTGAAGGAATTCTGTTTTCTCATGCTTTAATTGATGCTTTTTGTTTGTTCTAGGCGATAAACCGTACTCGTGTTCTGCATGCGGTGTCTCATTCACGCAAGGCTCTTCACTGAAACTTCACATTCGTTCCCGTCACGAGGACAATGCTAAATACTTTTCGTTGACACGCAAACCGGGCAAAAATAATTTGACCAAATTATGGACACGTGTGCTGAAAAAAGATTTGCCCAAATACAATTCGGTGATGGCAAACACACTTTTAAACCGATCGAAGTTTTGGTCACGGCCAGATCCGATACAGTTAAATCCATTTGGCCTTGTTCAATCCAAACTTTTACCAGTCGATATCAATTTACCCGGTTCCAACCAATTCGGGTGGAATTCATCCACACCAGCATCAGTTATGCCCACACCATTCAAGTCGGTGAACCGCTTGAATTATGCGCAATCATCTAAATCGACGCAGAACCATGTACAACGGAATGGAACTGGATCTTCCGTGGATGGGTTCGAAACGGAACTACCCGGATTGGACGTTGTTCGCGATACAGAATCCAGTCATACGTCAGCTAGATTTGTCAATAGGGAAACTGCGGATGATATTTTCCGTCCTGCTGGTTGGCCGATGGATAGGAAAAGACGAGTGAGGAGACAGAAAACGGAACAAACCGAATTGTCAACTGTCATGGATGGTGATAAAGCTGGCAATATCTCTTGTTCTGTGGAAGGCTACCAGAACAATAAGGCATACATGTCTTATCTAACCAAAACCGAGGGCTTATCTCCTCGTCGAGATGACTCATATGTTGCTCCACATCTATACAACTGCGAAAGGGGACAGGAGATTTCGAATAGATCCGTTTGTCGTGCCACGGTACCCGCGGACTGGATCGAACGTGAGTCAAGTGCGCTGTTTTCATCCCCACAACCCAAAGCTTCGCACTACTCACGGTCGGATTATGTGCTTCATGAAAAACGGGATAGCGAACAATCAGACTTCAAGCACTACCCTGAGTCAGGTCCACGAACTGCTGGTTTGACACAGCCACTCTCTAATCCAGACACAACAAGGCAGCATTACTGAATGGAATGCAATTTGTGATAGCAACAGGTGTTGTTGCAATCGATAAAAATCGAAATCTCTTCTAGTCAGAACCACGGGGAAATAAGTCGCAAAACAACCAAAACACACGAAGACCACTTATTGTCGTCACCGCTCTCCATACCGTTCTTTCCAATACAATGCCATCTGATAAACTAATAAGATAATTTACTTGAATATATAATGTTTTATTTCCTTGCATTTGTTTGAATTCAGCACTAACAGATAGTTGTTTTGTGCCAGATTCAATATGTCATAAAATTGAGCAATCAAATGCAAGGGGAGAAACACGCTAACTTTTGATAAAATGCAACAATCTAGAGGGGCATACCAGTAAACACCAAATGGTCGACAAAAGAAATAAAGGAGGCCAATAAGATATTCTCATTTGTGTGATTGCATTATTTTCAAACAGAACTGTTCCACATAAATTATTCAATTTAACGCGTAGCAAGGAATCAAATTGGATCAAACATATATCGAGCAGGCTTCAGACCGTAGTGAAATGCGTTAAGGATAGATATTGTTGACCTGGAGAAAACGATGCTATAAAGAAATGTGGGCGAAACTCTTCTGTCTGGGTAGCTCTCCCGTAGTAACCTCGGTCTGTTCTGTCTGTTCAATGTTACTCCGGATACAGTACGTAACACAATTCTCTTTGTTCCGGTAAAACTATTACAAGACCGTCATATTGGTTGCAAGTGTAATCAGACATGATCAAATTTGACTGTAGAGAATGAAAGCTGTCGGCAAGTTTAGTCTCACAAAACAGGTGTTTTGGGGGATTGGGAACTCGAATTGACCAATAAGTCAAATAAAAGAAGTTATTCTGACGAGGTGTTGGTGTTGGTTTGATTTCTTGATTTGTTTCATTGAATGCATCGTTTACATATCATACAAAACGAAAGTGACCCCTCGTTCAAATGCGTCGAGTGCTGCATGTTACACCAAGCACACACGCACCAGCACATACAGTATGATCAGTGAAGAGACCGGTCCACTAATACACGAAGGTACATAACCGCAGTTACACAAAGCATTTCCCGATTGAAACACACACATATCTTGACTAGAAACCCTATACAAGAAATTCGATTGAATACAGATGGCCTTGCACAACCCAATTAAATATGCTAATGATTTCCGAAAACTAAAGAATTCAGTGTAAATAAAGTGTCAAGTATTTTTAATAATGCTGAAATGACAATATCCTGGATTGTTGTATAACGCATGCCTTCCAAAGACCAGGTCTGTTACAAAAATGAAGCACTTGAAACAACGGTGAAAGTTGTGATCATGACTGAGATAAAATGGAATCCAGAGTTTGTTTTGAAAATCTGTTTCAAGGCAATTTTAGATAATGAGATTAGGAAGATAAGCAGACATTTCATCTTTAATGAATAATCAGTGACTGTGCTGAGGCCAGAATTCAATTAATATTGCCGTGGAGTATTTTCACAATTGAGGTCCTATTGATTTCTCATCAACAAAGTATTTGAAGTGGATTACTAATATGTGATAAAGAACAGCCCGACAAAACCTGACATATTTCCAATTGTAATTGTTACAAAATATTTTCGTCCGAATTTGCTGAATCCACCCGAAGGTTAATATAATCTGATGAACTGGAATTGGGGTTGAAAACTCATTCATAGAGTGCACCACTCGCGTCGTGATCCATCTCTTTCATTCGCTTATGCATTATTTATGTGTCTGGGATACAGGTTCCACACCATAAATCTTGCTCATGCTGTCCCCTTGTTCAGTATCTATGAAACTTTGTTCACAAATTTCTTGTCGTCATACTCACGCAGGTGATTTCACTGCTATCCATCCGGATGTCCTCATGATGTGGTAAGGTGGGATTCAGAGCTTTGTGATTCAGTGCTGCAGTGAGCCATAAAGGACTGATTATTAGAATGAGTGCAATTCTTCATTAGCGTTGCAGCGTTGGATGCTTTGGCCATAGTGCATTACATTAGGTCCCGACATAAGCCTGAGCATATTTTTCATTGAAATACCATATAGTTACTCATCACTTTATGGAGATGCCTCATGACAAAATATATTAGGAGAGATTAGCTCTCATGGTAGATTATAAAATAGCTATAACTGACTTCTGTCTGGTCTCTCACGACTAACAAATCATCGTTATGACAAATAAATACTGTTCGCAAAGGAAACTTTCTACTTGAATTTGAAAACTGTAAGAAACCATCAAGTTGTTTTTTTCTTTTGTCATTAAAATAGATGACAAAGTAAAAGGTCTCGTTTCCAGCCTGATTACTTTAGATAAGAATCGGAAATTCAGTTTAAATTTTGTGATTAGTTTGCTATCATTATTGGGGTTTGGGACAGAACAAACAATCCAATGGTGTTCTTATCCGGAGTAAATCCAATCCTGTGAAAACTGAACCAGTCATGCAAGGCATTGATTCTTTGGTTGGAACCAACGGCCTTCACTTTATGCGCATTTTTCCACCATATGATCCGTAAGACCGCGACCAGGAATATCCAAAGGCAACTGTTAGCTTACCGATTCGTTTTCATCATCTTACAATGGAGATGAAATCATTCTACGACCTTGATATGGTGAGACGGTTTCGCCCGGACACCGCGTGAACCGAGGTAATGTTCATCTCAATCCATGACTCCAACTTCCCTTTATCATGAATCTTAGAGGTCAATGTGAAACGTAGATATTAGCTTGTAGATTCCTGACCTAAATATGGTGAATAGAAGCTAGTATCTATTTTTAATCCAAATGTTCGTGCATTAAAAGGGATGCGATTAGTTAATTCGCCTGTGCCAAGTTCTTTCAAGGTATTCCGGTAACAATTGGACTGTCCATTTGGCTGTCGCATGTGAACGCGCAAAACAGATACTGATTTACTTTGGCCTTTGTTAATCTTCGATGATTTTCGGTACATTAAGATTATCTAAAAGGTTGAACTCTCCATATCAACAAGAGGCCTTAGAATCTAGTCTTGCTTTTTCTACCCAGGATTACAATCGACCGGCATGCTTACAGCTCAATTTCGATTTTTTGAGCGAAAGGCTAATTTCTCAAAACCAAAATGTGATCTCTAAATGCATTTCTTCGAAACCCCTATGTCCTTTGACGTGAGACCGTCACTCTTCTGTTTTCACTCGCGTCATTCGCAGTTGATTGGACAGACAGATAGGGAAAGCCCAAGGTCGACAGTCCGGCATTAAACAGGCTGGCAAGTATCTCTTAGATTTCCAATTTAAAACGTGCATTCTATCTGTGCTTTTTAGCTGTATTCACTCGTTACTCGGCGAGTATAACCATATCACAAATCTGTCTCATCTATCTGTACACAGAAATGTTGAATCTGTATTAATGTGGCAAATGAACGCCTGTATTACATAAACCAGAGACATCTTGAAATCAGACGTTGCCTTGTATAGTATATGCGAGTTCATTAATGTCAGGGTTTGCCTAACAGTGTTCTCTGTTGTGGGTTTCACATTTTGAGTCTAGTTATTTCCCCCGCACAAATGACGCAGATGAGGACGAATCAGGTCAAGTCACAAATCGCTTTATTCATCCGATTGGGTGGATTTTTGGCTCCCTGCACATCCGGATCATTAGCCATCGTATACAAACTAAGGGGAAAAGTAAAATGCAATATCATAAATTTAAGTGGAAGGTGAAGTAAAAATGCGAAAATGGATATAATTCACATAAGAATTTCAAAAAGTTTTCTCTATCGGATGCTCTCTGTACCAGAAATCTCAAAAGATAAGGGATAATGGACAAACGGTAGGCAGTGGTACGAGTATGCACAAATTTGTTACGACACCCAGTTACAGAAGTGAATACACATTGTTTGAGTTCTGTGTGATGGGTGAGTGATGTCTGATAGAATATTATTGCAGAAGTTTTCGCAAAAGTTGAAATGTTTGTTGGCGATAAATTTAAGCAAGTGTAAATGGGGAATACAGCTTGCGCGCGAACTAATTTGAATAGACTGGAGTAGAATTGTATCGCTTTTAACTCCAAGCCCGGGAACTATGACTTGGGAACAGAAAGGAAGATGAGTGAAAACACATGAATATACAAATTGGGTAACTCAATACAGTATAAATTTTACAGATAGCAAGCAGTAAATAAAGAAACACAATCGTTGAATCTTTTTAAAAGTAGAGTATAGATGTGAAGTCCAGTTGAGATCTTGGCAGATAGTAACATCGAGGTATTGCAGAGAACGTAATGGGGGAACAGACTGGTTGCCAAAATACAGTACGGAGCAATTTCTTTCAAAAGAATGCATCCGTTCTCTTTGGCTAGTGAGAAGGTGATATCTCTACAGTTACAGGCACTGACAGATAATTTGGAATACGAAGACCATACGCTTAAGGCAGGTATACTGGTTTGAATCCGTGAGAAGTGGAAATCACCTAGGAATTTGGAACCTATGATGGCACCAACAGCATTCTTGCTAAGAAGATCGGCCGGATCAGTATGAAGGTGTCGAATATAGACAGAGAAAAGGGCACAGAATTGTTCCCTGGAGCACCCCTGAACTGACTGTTAGCGAGTCAGAAATTTTTCCAAGAAACTTTGTGGTGTGTTCTACCAATAAAGTAATCTTGGATTAGAGACAGCGTAGTATTGGACAATCCAGCACCCTAGATTAGAGCCTGTTCCTATAGACACAAGTAAATGTAGTAGTGTTGAGCAAACACGCACGAAATGCTTTACTGTGCATGTTACGGATTGCAAAAGTGAATTTACCAAATGCACAAGGGCGTTTAGGATAGAACGTTGTTTGCGATAAGCGAAGTGACTGTTATCTAAACGCCCAGCGTTAGGGATAACGTTACCAAACTTTAATTTTCAAAATTTTTATCAAAACAAAAGTGCAAGCGATTGGTCGAAATTTCCCGGCTTCCGTTTTTGGGACTGGTGTGATGCGCACAGGTCTCCAACCGTGGACAATTTTTTGTTCCTCGAA